ATATTCACAAGGGATATTGGTCTATAGTTTTCTTTTTTTGTTGTGTCCTCTCTTGGCTTTGGTATCAGGGTGATACTGACTTTATAGAATGACTTGGGAAGGAATACCTCCTTCCTAATGTTAAGGAGTAATTCCTGCAGTATGAGTACCAGCTCTTCTTTGTAGTTCTGGTAAAATTTGACAGTGAATCCATCTAGTTGGGAACTTTTTTGTTGGAAGTATTTTTATTATTGCTTCAATCTTTTTGCTTATTATTGGTCTATTCAAGACTTCTATTTAGTCCTCATTGAGTCTTAGGAAGTTGTGTGTCTCTGGGAAATTGTCCATTTCCTCTACATTTTTTAGTTTATGTGAATAGAGATTTTCATAGTATTCATAGATTATATTTTGTATTTCCATGGTATCAGTTGTAATATCTGGTTTTTCATTTCTGATTGAGCTATTTTGGTCCTTTCTCTTTGATTGCTGGTTAATCTAACAAGAGATCAACTTTGTTTATCCTTACAAAGAACCAACATTTTGTTTCACTGATCTTTGGTATTATGTTTTTGTTTTCCATTTTGTTTAGTTTTGCTGTGATCTAAGTTGTTTCTTTTTTCTGCTGGCTTTTGTTTGTTTTGCTCTTCCTTTTCTAGTTCCTTAAGATGTGTCATTAGATTGTTGATTAGTGATCTTTCTGTCTCTTTGATGTAGGCATTTAAGGCTATGAATTTTCTCCTTGGGACTGCCTTTGCTGAATCCCATAGGTTTTTGATATCTTGTGTCACCTTTGTGTTCAGTTTGAGAATTTTTTTATTTCAATCTTAATTTCTTTATTGACCCAATAATTGTTTAGCAGCAGGTTGTTTAATTTCCATCATTATATGTAGAATTGAGTGTTTCTCTTGAAGTTGATGTCTAGTTTTATTGCACTATGATCTGAGAAGATACATGGTATGTTTCAAATTTTTTGAATTTATTGAGACATGTTTTGTGGCCTAAGGTGTGATCAATCTTGGAGAATGTTCCATGTGCTGATTAATAGTATGTGTATCCAGTATTTTTGGGTAAAATTTTCTGTAAATGTCTGTTAGGCCCATTTTTTTTCTAGAGTCCCACTTAAGTCCAGTGTTTCTTTATTTATTTTCTGTTTGGGGATTCTGTCCAATTCTGTCAGTCATGTGTTAAAATCCCTGGCAATTATGATGCTGCTGTTTTTCTCTTTGCTTAGATCTAATAGGGTTTCCTTTATGAATGTGGGTGCTCCTGTGTTAGGTGCATAAATATTTTGGATTGTTATATCTTGTTGAATTGTTCCCTTTACTATTATATAATGATCATCTTTCTCTTTCTTTACTATTATTGATTTAAAGTCAAATTTATCTGATATGAGAATGGCTATACCAGCTTTCTTTAGGTTTCCATTTGCATGGATAGTTTTTTATTCTCCATCCTTTTACCTTGAGTCTATAGGAGTTGTTGTGGATTAGATGGGCTTCCTGGAAACAGCACATATTTAGGTTGTATTTTTTTCATCCATTAATCCAGCCTATGTCTCTTGAGTGGGACATTAAAACCATACATATTGATTGCTAGAATTTATATGTGTGATGCTACTCTGTTCATCCTGTTGGATATACCTTATTGCTCTTTTTTACCTCTTATGCTATTGTTTTAAATGAGTTCTGAGCTCTAGCTTTTGGATAGTTTCACATGGGTGGGTGTCTATTGTGCTGATCCATGTAGATTGTGATTCTGAATACTTTCTGTAGGGCAGGTCTGGTCTTGACAAATTCCCTAATTGTTTGCTTTTCTTGAAAAGTCTTTTTTTCTCCATCATATGAAACTTAGTTCTTCAGAATACAAAATTTTAGGCTAGCAGTTGCTCTGCCTAAGAAAACTAAAGATTGGGCTCCAGTCCCTTCTGGCTTGTAAGGTTTTAGTTGAGGGTAACCTTACCCAACTCAGCTCTGCCCAGTGTCACTCCTTCACCTGCCTCTGCTGTGGCAGAGAATAAGAACTCAACTGGAAGTTCTAGGGCCCCACCCAACACCTGGGGCATTCAAGTGCTTCTCCTAAGGCCTAGAGCCAGTCACAGGACCCAAAAACAACACCACAGCTTATTCCTTCCAGCAAGTACTACCTACTGACAGGGAGGTCAATTTTCATAAACCTTTATACATTTATCAACTCAGTCCTATAGGATGTGATTGATTCTTACCCACAAGCATGACCTGCAATCTCAGAAATTAAACTGGGCATATCAATACAATTCACACTATTAATAAGACAAGAGGACTGAGTAAAGTGAGATGATTTCAAAGACATCAATCCTCCTTCATCAAAGAGAGACAGGGAATCTGCCCACACATATATCTCACCACTGCTGTAGCCTACAACCAACCTGCAAGTGAGAAAGCCACCACACTAAGGATATTTATAACCAAAGCATACATCCAGTACCTAGATCACCATCAAAGCACCCACAAGGAAAGCCAAAGGTTTTTATCCAACATACGCTACAGACACTCCTCTACAAATGTGTGTATTGTGGGGGGACCCCCATCTAAACAAAAGAAAATAAAAAAATCAGAAGTGACAGCTCCCTCAGGTGAGAAGGAATCAGCAAAAAGAAGTATGAAAAATCAGAATGAAAAGACACCCCATAAGGGAACACCAGCTCTCTAGCAATGGAAGCCAACTAAAATGAAACTATTGGAATGATAAAGAATTCCAAATATGGATTATAAGGAAGCTCAATGAAATCTGAGAGAACATGGAAAACCAACTCAAAGAAATTAGAAAATATATTCAGGAAATGAATGAAAAATTCACTAATGAGATTGACATATTAAAAACGAACCAAATAGAACTGGAAATGAAAATTTCATTTAAGGAAATATAAAACACAATGGAGAGTTGTAAGAATTGACTAGACCATGCAGAAAAAAGACACTTAGAGCTGAAGACAACTCTTTGGGATCAAATTAGTCATACAAATATAGAAAATTAAGGGGAATTAACAAAGCCTATAAGAAATATGGGATTATATAAAACAGCCAAATATAAGAATCATAGACATCTCTGAGGGTGGAGAAGAAAACACACAAGGGCTAGAAAACCTATTTGAGGGAATAATTGAGGAAAGCTTCTCTGGTCTTGCTAGAGATTTAGACATCAAGGTACCAGAAGCTCAATGAACACTTGGGAGATTCATTGCAAAGAGGTATTCACCAAGACACACAGTCATCAGGCTGACCAAAGTCAACATGAAGGAGGAACACTTTAAAGCTGTGAGGAGAAAACATCAAGTACTTTACAAAGGAAAACCAATCAGGCTAACTGCAGACTTCTCAACAGGATAGATCTTACATTGTGCTATTATCACAAAAAATTAAAGGAGTTAGACATAACCTTGAGAAGTTATAGATATGTCTATTCTCTTGATGGTGCTGATGCTTTTCAACATCAAGGAGTTTAAGTATATCCTTATTCCCAAACTCATCAAATTGTATACATTAAATATGTGTAGCTGTTTACTTGTCAGTCATATCTTGATAACTTTTTTATAAAAATACAGCTTGTAGAATTGGAATACAATACGTATCCTTGTATATATACACCATTTTCCAATCAGTGATTCAGAATTCAAAGTCTACTATTTATTAAGATATCTTTTCAGAGAAAATAACTACATATTATTTTAAAATGAAAGAAATTATAGTTGATTTCTGGTTTAGAAATCTGTTCTATGATATAATAGAGATAAATTCTGTTTATCTAAAAGGAGTTTTTTTTTTAACAGCATCATTATTTAAGTATTTCAATTATAAACATTCTTATTAGACAATGATTTATGCTCCTTCATTTAAAGAAGAAAGACCTACTACCTGTAGGGCATATGTTTCAAGTTACTTTTCAAATGATGATGGATTTGCTATGAGATAGCCACAAATAATGAGAAAACTATGTTATAGGTTGCTGCCTATTATATTTTTCTCTTTGTGAGTTTTACTGGGACATATACAGGAAGCAAACCAGCAGATGTCATATCCTACCTATCAAGTTTCAGTGCAATTAAATGAGTTAAATATTCCCAGAAGACTCAAAGCTCAAAGACAATTAAGTATAGGTGAAATAATACTAATTGGTGGAAGCACAGAAGATCTACATTAGTCAAAATGCCGTATCATAATTTATAGAAATGCAGTAATGCTAGAGATTTACCTCCTCATTAGTTTCACTGAGTTATCAGAAAAGGAGCCACCCTTTTTTTAATTATAGAGATATTTTTAAATTTAAAGAAGTCATTTTTAAGACAATTACTCATAACTCCTCTGACATTGTCAATAACTAAGAGTTGTCTTTATAAGGCCTGAAGATTTATCAAACTGTTTAGATTATGCTGATTATGCTGTAGCTGGGTGTGGGCAGAGGTATACTTCTGTAATCCCTGCTACTCAGGAAGCTGAGGCAGAAGATACCCTTCAGTCTAGGAGTTCAAGACCAGGCTGGGCAGCACAGTAAGACCCTGGCTCAAAAAAATAGATTAAACTGTACCATATTTATGCTTTCCCATTCTTTTGGCCTATTCATGTAAGAATTGGCCATGTTCTCCTGTTGTAAAAAAGATCACATACAAGAAAATAGCTTCCTGAACTTACTTAAAATATATATGGATGTTAGTTATTTTAATATTTTAATTATATGTATTTTTTAAACTGTTAATTATAGTTTTGATTAAACTTTCATGGTGATAATTCTGATTTTATGTTTAAATTGATGTGAAAAACAGCTATTTTAAAATGCATTTATATAGGAAAAACATTATTTTCAGTTTTTTTCTCTGACTACTTATTAATAGAAATAATCACATGTACTTTTGAGTCCTTATAGATTTTATTTCAATGAAGTGTTAGCCTTGATATGGAAAGTTGCTAACAAAATTGTTGGTTTGATATGTCAGCTTTCCTGTTATGAAATGTCAAAGTCTAATAATATTATTTCTTTTTCCCCCACAGTGGAACACCCTGACAAAATGGCTAATGACCAAGGTATAGTCACTCAATCTGTCACTTTGTCCTCCTTGAATCAATCCTATCTGTTGAAAATGTCAGTCATTACTCTGTATTCCTCTTTTCATCTGGGCCATACACCTGATCAAGCAGACTCTGGCGTGATGATTAATCTTGTTAATGAAGTTCTGCTTGGCTGAGGCTGTGGCTCTGATAGGGAAGATGTAAATTTCTTGAGAGGAAATTGTTTTGTCTCTATTCTGAAGGACCAATTAAAATGTCAAGCTTCTTTGTATGAAATAAATTTTTAGTCTCTGTCTGCACTTGTGAATAATTCACATTAAGTATAATTAAGCTCAGCATAATTTTCAAGCTGCTCTTGCACCCTTTCATGAGCTATGGATTAAAGTTATGTAGCTCTATAGAGAAAAACCATAAATTATATGTGCTTTGCCTCTGCAATGAGCTTCTTTTAATAAATAAAAACAAAGTTGGATCAACTTTTTAGGGCATTATCATTGTTCGCTTTGAAGCCAAAAAGCTTTCATTCCATGAATCAGATGCTGGTCTGAGTCAGAGTATTTTCTTTTCCTTCCATTCTTTTGCTAAAAGCTGATTTGTATAGAGAAACAAGGATGATTTTGCACAAAGAAAAAGTGGAGATAAAAAAAAAATATCCATCAACTTATAAACAGCTATGAATTTTCTATTACCATGATTTATTGACTGATTGATAAATTAGGATTCCATTATCTTTGCTTACGGGACAATTAGTAGAGTGCTGAGAGGAGAAAAAGAGTATTTTATGAGTTTTATTTTTTCGAGATGTTATATTCATTCAAAGGGTAGTTTGAAAATACTAGTAACGGGTTGTAGTCAGTGTTGTCAGTATTTAATTGATTTAGAGTCTACAACTCATGTACTTTGTCTCCTGCTTTGCACATTGACTGAACTTACTTACAAACATCATGTGTCATAAGAAACCATATGATGAGATTAGGGGAAAACATTCTTTTCAAGAGAAGTACTTTTTAACTTGTGACAAATACTATGCTTCTGGATGTAGGCTCTCAACAACAGAAGGCTGCCTACATGAGTAGTATCTTCTTCAATGATCCTGTGTTCAGGTTTTTCTCTGAGTTCTTACACCATGCTTCAGTTTAACAGAATGTGGCTAGAAGTTTACATGCAGAATAATAGAAATTATACTGTGCACAGAAATGTGTACTCAGGGTTATGATTTCCACTAATCTAGCTGCTCCTGCTTGCTTCCACTGAAAATATTTTCATAAGATCAGTATCTACTAAATAGTAATCTTTGTAAAAATGATGATGAGTAATTAGCAATTGGCATATATTTACTTAGGTAAATTAAATATTAGTGCTGGCTATATCTAAACTTGAAATAATTAGCTAATAGAGACTGTATTATTATTTCAGTTATAAAATAATTGAAACAACCTCTCATAACCTTCTTCACTTGAAAGGATTTGAAATTTACACACAGAAATAACTTCTAATTTTTGAAATTATATTTAAAAATAATATAATAGAGAAAAAACAACAAAAACATTTAAGGAGTAACTGAACCAATTGAAATGTTTCATTATTGACCACTTAGGTGTCAATGTACCAAGCTTCTCAATAAATGCTTTTCCACTTTTCTCTGGATACCTTTTAACTGTTTTTTTTTTCTCTTATTTTTTAAGTTATTCATTTTGGTTAATATTATTTCAAGCTACCAAAAGCATATTTTGTAAATTAGTTATTTTACAGAAGACAAATGAATAAATTATTCCCCAGTCCCTCTTATCATACACCATCTGTGGATTTTACTCTGATTCTCACATCTACAGTGAAATCATATCAGTTATCAGAACAAAAGAAATTCCCAAGAATTATTGCTATTTGTTGAGTCTATTAATATAGTTGGTAAGTTGTTCTTTTCCTTTGTCTAATATTGCTTAGAGAGATTCTGTCACATATTATCTTACACATTTATTGGGTGCCTCATTCAATCACAACTGACATGCAATGGGTAAAGTTGATAGATTTTAAATTTTACATTAAGCTCAAATAACTTGTAAAATTGAGAGGGACTGATGACATGGAATTTAGTGGTTGTAAATAATATCATTAAATTCTTACAGAGAAAGCATATAAAATTTCCTAGACCCCAAAATCTCTTTATAAACAAAATCAGTCTTTTGAGTTGCTGAGCATGTGCAGGAGAAATAATCCAGATTAAAGATCCCTCTAAGATCAAGGAAAATAATAGCAAAAGGCTGTTATTAACATTCCCACTTCCAGCACATAGCAAATCAGTATAATATGTCTTTTTGTGTGTGTCATTGTTAGCTCTATTTTCCTCCATCCATGAAGAAAGGATCCACTGTTACATTTATAACAGAGGCTGAATTTCTGCTGAGATAAAATTCCCTCTGAGAAAAAATTGGGCACTGTGGGGTAGAGTTAATCTTGCAAAGATGAATTCTAAATAGAGAAGCAGGAGGTTGAATTTGACTTACATGAAAGTTAGAAAAGTATTGATCATTCTAAAAAAGTGTCTTTTTAGATTCTTGTCACAATTATTATTATAATTATTTATAATCTAAGATCTGCCATGAAGAACATAAATGTGAAAACAAAAAGTTATATTTGAATCAGTTTTGATTTGAGAAAAATTATTTTCTTCTGAGCAACAGTACTAGTAATATGAAAATGATAGACAACATAGAACTTCTAATACTTTTATGTAATTGTAAATTGATTATATCTAGCCTTTTTAAACTCTCTAATCGACCTACTCTATAATTCTCCTTTTATGCACTCCCCTTCTCTCTCTAGCTCCAAGTCTTAATTATTTCTGTAGATTCTTCCAGGTACAAGCAGCCAATATATTTGGAAGTAATTTGGAAGAAGACTTTAGAGATTAACCACAGAGTTTAATTTTTTGGAGAGTCAGGCAGGGTAGGAAAATTGCACAGGCTATGTGAATTCGAAAAAGCTACTACACATTTTGTTCTTTGCCATATTTTGATGAAAACTCTTTCAATTTGTCTATATCTGAGTCTGTGTGGACATTTATAATGGTAAAATGAACCCCTGTACAGCTCTTATCACCTCTCAATGTTTTAAGAGCTTTGCATGATTCACTCACTTAATCCTCATAACAATTCTGTGAGAGAGATACTGCTATTAGCCCCATTTTAGTGGTGAAGAACCTGAAGCTCAGAAAGTTTAAGTGATTTGCCTATAGGAAAGCAGCTAGTAAGTATAAAAGCCATGATTCAAACTCAGGAAACCTGGTCCCCAAGCCCTGTTTTTAAGCACCAAGTACATTAATCACATATGTTATATTTATACATATACAGCCACACAAACATATTTGACACACAGACACACGCATACATATATATCACACACACAACCACACAAACATGTTTAATGTATATCTGTAAAGTTACTGTAGCTAAAGATTTGTGTATTAATATTTTTCTAATATGGACCTTCCTTTCCCTATCTTTGTGAATATTCTAGAGCAGGGGTCCTCAAACTATGGCACACGGGCCACATGCCACCCACCTAGGACATTTATCCGGCCTGCCAGGTATTTTTGCCGCCACTGCCTGTCCTGCTTAGCAGCCAAATTGTCCCGGGCCCACAGTGCACACTCTCCAACAGTCTGAGGGACAGTGAACTGGTCCCCTGTTTAAAAAGTTTGAGGATCCCTGTTCTAGAGAACAAGGCACATAACTCTCAGTCTGGGGTCATCTTGTTGATGGGAAACCATAGCCCTGAGTACATGATCCTGACACTTCATCTCAGGAAACACAGGGATCATGCTAATTCACCATCTTAGCCAGCTGGGGCTGTCAATACAAAATATCACATACTGGGTGGGTTAAATGGTAGATATCTATTTTCTCACAATTCTGGAGGCTGAAAGTCCCTGATCAAGGTTTTAGCAGGGTGAGTTTCCAGTGAGGGCTTTCTCCCTGGCTTGCAGACAGCCTCCTTCTCACTGTGTCTTCTCCTGGTGGAGAAAGAGCAAATATTCTAATGTATCTGCTCTTGAAAGGACACTAATACTATCGATCAGGTCCCTACCCTTGTGACTTCATTTACCCTTAATTACTCCCATAAAGACCCTGTATCTGAGTACAGTCACATTGGGGATTAGGGATTCAATCTATGATTTTTGGGAAGGACAATTCAGTCCATACCATCCACTTTCAAAAAGAAAGCTGTTCTTTGACTCTGTTACTAATTATCTTCCCAGTTTTTCAGACAAAGAAGCAGAAGGTTAATGTTTTGCCCAAGGTCACAAAAATAGTTGTTGGCAAAGTTAGAACTTCTCACTGCTAGAGTATGCAGTCTTTCCACCGTTGATTGTTGCAAAACTTATAAAAATTTTGGATTTTTGTTCTTCTAAAATCAGCTTAAACTTTTTAGAGTTTCTCACAGAAGCATTTTAAAAAATCCCTTTGTTTGGGAGTTCCAGTAGAGATTAGCTATACCCGTAAAATATAGATATTTCTTGAAAGTGATTATTAGATCACACTTTTAATCTTAAGGGATTATTTTAATTTTCATCACCTTTATGTTCTGTTTAACCCCAAGATATCATTCTCCACTCTGAGATGTGTGTGTATGAGAATTGATATTCTTTGCATGAGCACGGATGTTTATGATTTCATATGTTTCCATGCCTGCCCACTGCGGCAATAGAGTAGGTGCATTGGCAATGATATAGTAGCTTAAAGAGGGCAGGAATTCTTGTGAAATGATCCGTATCATTGCTGAGAGGAATTATGAAGTAAATGCTTGCTTTGAGCACTCTCAAGTGTCTTTAATTCTCCATGGCCTGGCAGAGGGGTGATCTGAAACACTAGGCCTAGAGAAGAGGCATCCATTTATAGGCCAGTTATACATCCAGATGAGGAAAGCCTGCTCCGAACTGCCCTCCCAGGAGAGCGGGAGAATTACTCTCCTTGGAATCTTGGTAATGGCTGATAATGCTCTGGCTTTTCCCATCA